CACCCCCGGTGGATATGCCCACTCCCTATGATGTGGAGCCAGTAGGTGTTAGATTATCCATTTATGCCCAAGGTAATTGCCAAGCCAAACCAGTTGTCATCTAATTTATTCCAACTCATGACAATCCATGCAATCACATGAGCTCTTCAAAGCAGAAGAGGAAGTCAGAGAGATTCCAAGAATGAGGATTCCACGGGCCGTGCTGCCACTGGGGTGTAGGCACCACATGAAATGACTGGAGCGAGGCCTTGAGGAGCCGCGGCAGATGGCATCAGGCAGCCAGCAAAGAAACAGGAACCTTAGTCTGGCAAGGAACTGAGTTTTATCAGCCGTTTTAATGAGCTTAGGAGCATATTCTTCTCCAGAACTTCCAGAAAGAACATAACTTGTTTTTAACCTGTGAGATCCTAAGAAAACTCAGCTAAGCCGCTCTGTGAAGTAACAAATAGGCTTTGTTATAAGGTGTTACATGTGTGGTCATTTTATGTGTTAGAAATAGAAAGCTACTACAGATAGGAGGAAACCATTTTTCAGTTTTCTACTTCAGGATCCCTTTTCCTTGGAGAGATTTTGCAAATTTTACTTCTTATTTTAAAATGAGATTCACCCTGTGGCAGGCAGAATAGTTGTCGTCTTCTCACACTCACCCCCTCCAATGGCCTGTTCTTAGGAATCTAAATATATTACTTGACATGGCAAAACATATCAAACATGTTTCATTGACGATCTATAAATAAGAATTTTGAGATGGATTCACACGGGTCCTTACAAATGAAAGCTGGAGGTGAGAGTCAATAAGGGCTGTGACCATGGGGGAAAATAAATTTACAGAAATGATAGGGTATCTGTTATGAATCGGAACTTACTGGATGGCAGTTTGGTGACTTTGAAGTTCTAGAGAGGGCCCAAAGCCAAGGAATGCAGGTGGCTTCCACAAGCAAGAGAAGCCTTGGAAAAGATGAGGAACAAGATTTTCCTTTAAAGCCCTTAGGAGGAGCGCAGACCGCCAACATCTTGGCTCTAGGGTTCCTGACTTCCACGACTTTGAGATCATAAATGGAAGTTGCTAAATGTATGATAATTTACAACAGCAGCAAAAAGAAACTCAGAAACACTAGGAATTGCAAGAGAGTAGAACATCATTTTTGTAGTATCAAAAGAAAAGAATCATGGTTCTGTTTATTCAACTATAACATTTTAAAGTACTATGAGTCAAACTAAAATATCGACCCAAAACCCATTGCCTTCAAGTCGATTCCAAATCAGCCACCCTGTAGGACAAATTTTCTGAAACTGTAAATCTTTTCAAGAGCAGGTAGCTTCATCTTTCTTCCCCACAATGGGTTGAACCTTGACCTTGGGTTACCAGCTTAACACTAAACCCACTCCGTCACCAAGGCTTCTTTAAAAATTGCCATATTAAAAAGAGAAAGAAACGAATTATTGATAGCTCCAAAAACCCATTGCTGTCAAAGTGATTCCAGACTGTAGCCACTCTAAAGGACAGACAAGCTGCAGCCCTGCCACAGCTTTCTCCCACATGAGGCTTGAGCCATGGACCTTTTGGTTAGAAGCCAAGTGCTTAACTACTGCCGCCAATGACAAATTTATGACTGGATTTGTTGTTTGCTTCTACCCATGATCCTATCCTATCCTATAAAAAAATATATATATTTTTTATATATTGCATTCTTGGCACCTTTAAATTCATGCTTCCAGTTTTATATATTGCATTCTTGGCACCTTTAAATTCATGCTTCCAGTTTTAAATTAACATTAGTTTATTTATAACACTGTTAAATAATTAATTTTCAATGCTTAAATAATAATAACATTGTTTCTTACACTTTAATAATTCCCTATTGTATTGCCCTGCCAACTTTGTGTAGCTATTTCCTTGATAATCTGTGATATTTGGTCTGTTTTCTGTGATTGCCATATTCCTCACACTGGGCAATTTTAGATTAATAAATATCTAGGTCAAACCTAGAAAGGATTTTCAGATAGCAGCTATGTTAAACTTGAACGCACATTGAATTGACAGGTGATAAATGTTTTCACAGTGAGCTGCCAGCTAACCACTAATGTATGTTTTGCACGAAAATGAGATTTAGCTTACTCTCATTGTGGTAGTATACATTTTTCAAGAATATAAAATTTTGGTATTTTGAATAGTATTCAAAAGGAGTTAGTTTGAGCTAAAATAAATATGTGTAAAAAATCATAGAAATCATAAGAATTTTTCATTTCCTTTGAAGTCAGCCAAGCTGATTACCATCAAGTTTATTCCAATTCATAGTGAACCCTATCCAGTGCTCCAGAAGATAGCCTTCTCTTTCTTCTGTGGAGCAGCTGGTGGATTAGAACCAGCAACCTTGTGATTAGAAGCCCAGCGCTTACCTGACAGCATTACCAGGGCTACTTTTAAAGTCAGTAGCAGTAGGGAAACTAGCCTGCATACTAATGTGCAGTAATGTTTTTGATCTCTTCACTTATTCATACATTATTTATTGGCTACCTCATGCTAAATATATTAGGGACTCAGAATATAGTCCTTAATATAATAATAAAGTTCTAATACTGAATTCTATGTGGAGAGGTGCCAATTAATGAATATAAAAAATATATAATGGGTGGATAAATGCTTAGAAGAAATTCAGGATAAGGGAATAGAGAGCAATATATAGGAGGGAGTTCAATTTTAGATATTTAATATTGATAGTTGACATGTACAGTTGAAGGGAAACTACTTCACAGGTAATAGAAATCGTGAGGGAAAATAGGTAACTCATTTTTGTTGGTGATCATCCATGGAGTGCAAATTTAAATTTAGACTTCAAAGTATTCAAACTTTCTTTGGTCCTTTTTTTTTTTAATTACTTTTGGTTGCAAATGTTTAATTGATTTGAAATATTTTATTGGTTCTGCCTTATTTTTATGGGTTGTATGTATCAGAATCTTCATCCCTTGTGTTTGAATATTAATAAATCCCATGGAAAATTATAGTTCACAGACAAACATAAATGCTCATTGATTTTACAAAACTGAAACATAACCTATTACTTTCTGTTAGAAGTAAATATTGCCACGAGTAGTAGCTAGAGTTTCAGATAAGCCATTTACTGATGTCTGTATTGTCAGCATTTATCATAGAAATTATTTTTTAATATATGTCTTGGTTCAGTAGTCATTGACTTTTGTTGCAAAACAAATAACTTTCTTAGAAAAAGTAAGATTTGTACACAGTATATGAATAGAAAGTAATAAGTATGTTTTTAAAGTAATGAATAGGTCAGAATTTCAGCTCATGAATGATGAGTTGTTAGACAGAATTATCATAAAGAGAAACACTGTTTCATACAAACAAAAACCAGACTCTGTAGTGGAAGCTAGTCCAACTCAGAGTGACCCTAGATCAACAGAGTGAAGCCCTAGGGTTTCTAAGACAGTGAATCTTTCCAGGAGCAGACAGCCCCATCTTTCTCCCTCAAAGTGGCTGGTGGGTTCAACCCACTGACCTTCTGTTGGCAGCCCAACTCTTACCCTGCTACGTCTTTGTTTCCAACAAAAGAAGGTGATTTTCAAATTAGTCTGTATCTTTTGGTCACTCCCTCTTTTAAAAATCTTAAATTGTGGCCTGTGGATAAAAAATGCATTTTAATGGACAGCTAATTCTGTAGGCATGATTTAGAAATCTATTTCAGGACACAATAGTATATTTATATAAATACTCTGTTACTTCTTAAGGAGCAAAATCCGAACGACACTGTACTGAAACCATTCAAAACTAGTATTAAGAAATTCATAATTTGTAATAGTTTAAGAAGTAGTTTTTTTGGGTTTTTTGTTGTTCTTTGATTTAAGAGGTAGTACATTTTATTTTTGTCAGTTTTTCTGTAGATACCCCATTTGAACCCCATTAAGAGTAAAATTATAATACATTTTTTATTAAATCATTTTATTGGGGGCTCGTACAACTCTTATCATAATCCATATATACATCCATTGTGTCAACCATATTTGTACATTTGTTGCCCTCATCATTCTCAAAACATTTGCTTTCCACTTGAGCCCTTTGTATCAGCTCCTCATTTTTTCGTTTTTGTTGTTCTTATTTTCCGGAAAATAACCATGGTGGCGCATTAGTTAAGCACTGAAAATTGAAAGATTGGTAGCTCAAACCCATAGATACTTAGCTGGAAAAAGGTGCGGCGCTCCGCTTCCATAAAAACAACCTTGGTAATTCTGTGGGGCAGTCCCACTTGACTTATGGTCAGGTGCAGTCAAGTTGGCTCCGACTTACAGCAGAAGGAAACATTGTCCGGTCCGGTGCCATCCTCAAAATCATTGCTATTTTTGAGTTCATTGTTGCGGCCATTGTGTCAATCCATCTCATTAAAGGTCCTCCTCTTTTTCGCCGGCCTCTACCAAGCATAACATCCTACTCTGAAGACTGCCCCTCCTGCATGTGCAAAGACAGGAAACAAAGTCTTAATAGTAAGGAGCACTCTGGCTGCACTTCCTCCAAGACAGATGTGTTTGTTCTTTTTGAAGTCCTTTGTACTTGATATATTCTTCACCAGCACCATATTTCAAATGCATGGATTTCCATTCTTCCTTATTCACTGTCCAGCTTCCAGATGCAAATGAGGCGATTGAAAATTCCGCCCTCAAAGAGGACTGAATCCTCAGAGTCCTCAAAAGGACCCCATGTTCTTTAACACTATAAAGAAGTCCCTCTGACAGGGTCACTGCAAATGGCCTTTCACAGTAGTGGGTTTGAGTTTGAGTTCCTGAAGATATAGGTATGTGTGCTTCTTAAGATCTGCTTTTAAGAATAAGATAGACATTTTTGAGGCTAGGGACGATCCTTTCCATTTAGTTGTAGTCCACATAGAAGCATGAGGACAGTTTTGAGAGGGCTTATTAATGTATTAATAGATACTTAGGAAATCCTCCAGTGGGCATTTATTTTGCTAACGCAGCCTTTGCTTTTTCAGTTTACAGATATGATCCAGACCGGACCGTGAATTACTTTGGTTGATCAGAGTGAACATTCAATAATGAGTGGTGCAGCTTTGGGACTCGAGATTGTTTTTGTCTTTTTTCTGGCATTGTTTCTCCTGCATCGATACGGAGACTTTAAGAAACAGCATAGACTTGTCATTATTGGAACACTGCTTGCTTGGTATCTCTGCTTCCTTATCATCTTCATATTGCCTTTGGATGTTAGCACGGTAAGATGTGAAGTTCATTCTCACAATTTAAAAATCACTTGTAATCACAGCGTGTTTGAGGTATCTTAGTTTTTAAGGCAGCTAAATTATATACAGTGATGCTTTTGCTGTGAATGTCATTTCATAAATGTAATCATTCCAAACACAATGCCAGGAAGAGAAGATTGGGTAGATCAGATGAAAATTGCCAACATTTCTTAAGTACATGGTAACCTTTTGACACTTATTTTTACTCCCTGCGTTCCTTGTTGTAGACTATATACAACCGGTGCAAGCATGCAGCTGCAAACTCAAGCCCTCCAGAGAACAGCAACACTTCAGGGTCATTTGCAACTGCTACCCCAGCTCCAAGGTATTCCTGTCTTTCTTTAGTTTTATTAACCATAATCATTTTAGGGGGAAATTGGGTAAACTTGTCTGCTTTTACCATTCAGCTTTAATGTTTCTAAAAATTGACTAGCTGACCCTTCATCAACTTTGCTTGTGTACTGTTTTAGTATATATGTAGAAAATAAATTTAATCATAGCAAAAAGAAACCCTCACTGC